CTGCAGCTCTCTGCAGTTTCTATGGATCGTGCTGCAGAGCACAATGACCGTGGTGTCATGTTACGCAAATCAGATCTTGCATGGTCGAGGTGTATGTGAACATGACTTCGTTGCCGGGGCTCGCCACACCGTGAGAGCTGGGATGGTAGGCTGTGCCTTGCAGGCGATCCTAGGCTGTATCCCACGATCAAAGGCAGTGTTTGATTTCTTACTTCATGTTACCGGCATCTCCCCCCACAGCCCCTGCAACGTGGGAGAAGCATCTCGCAGGCATTGATCCTGGGCTTGGATGATTTCCATCGCTCCGGCGCCGAATTGATGATCTCAGGAGCCAGGGGTTTGCATCCACAAAAGTATCTGTGGGGTGCAGGCGGCAGAATAAACGAGAAGAAGCAAGTCCCGAATTCGAAGCTCCAGAATCCACTGCCAAAGCGGGCATCAAATTGCTCAGCGGCATGGTGTAGGAGCCATTGTCCTGCTTGGACTGGCGCAGATGTTCCTGCATGCGGCGAGCGTGACTGCAACTTGTCTTTGAAGTGATAACGTCGAGTTTGGGATGTAGGCATCGAGGCCAAGTGCTTACAGTGACCTTACCGGGAGACGCTTGAAATGCCAACTGCACCTCTCAGGATCACTGCGAGCGCTTGCCATCCTTCGTCAACTCGCGACACGGCTGACGGAATGTGTATCTCCGCAGCTTCAGGCCATGTAACATGCTGTATTCTTTGATTCTCGTGCGCCCATGACAGGAATGTCTTGCACAGAAGTCTCCGTGATGAGATGTGTTGAGGCTGTCAAGAAGCGTGAAGCCAGAGGTCTTGTCACATGTACCAGGGTCGTTTTCCGGGTCTTGCGGGATATGGGAGAGGGGGCGAAAAGGAGCCACATAGAATTGCAGTCTTTGGCCTTCCTCTTTGCTGAGATCGAGGCTTGGCTTCGGACGTGAGCTTGATGCAGACCGCATGTATCTGGTGGAGTACATGTGATCGCCTGAGCCGTGCAATGCATGAGCTTCTAGACCTGCTCAGCCTTGCAGCAGTTGTCCCCACCACTTCTCAGGTTCTACAGTCAAGTGACGTGGCAAGCACAAGTGATGTTGGGGCCGGCTAGGCATCATGTTTGCTTTGATGCCTTTGGGGATTTTTGACGGCGCAAGGATTGCAAGCTAAGCTGCGGAAGTTGTAGATGGGAGAGGTTCTCTGCTTGTGGACAGGAGACTGATAGACTGGCAGAGCTGGTTATGTAGCAAAGGGTTACCCCTGTCTGAACTCAGGCGGGGTTCTACGTTTTTGAGGTGCGACTGACGAGGGACATGGCCCGAAACTGAGCACGGGGCCTGCTATCTTGGTCCTATACTGTAGATCCGCATGCGACAGGGTATGTGTGCTCTGGATGAGGTGTTGAAGGCCTTCTACATCTGCGCAGTGGGAGTGTTCTACTTCGTCACCAAGGTGATGTCTGGGTCAGGACTGTGACTTCTGATTGGGCTGTAGGTTGTCAGAGAGTTCACGTCGCCAGAGCGCACGTGGGCATGCCGCATTTTTGTATCCACATGTGCTGAAACGGCCCGTGCCGTGCGGCGCGGGCAAGATGCGAGCTGCAAGCCGAGACTTCTTGCAGCGCGAAAGTTTGAGAGCAGTTGCAAGAGCAGCAAGTCGCCGGACTCCTTCTCGATAGCTCATAGCCAAATGACCGTTTGTGCTAAGCTCGCTTCAGCCATCATCTCTGCCAAGACATTGGCACCTCGTTTATAAACGAACACTTTGAAGCTGAGTTTTTGCCCGACGGCTGCTGTTCAGAATTCTTCTTCGCACTGGACCTGCTGTGCACAGACTTGCCATCGATACTTTGGGCGAGTGGCCGCATGATGCCACAAGGCAGTGTGCGATTCTCCAAGCCTCGAGTCGCACAGCTCAGGTGTCTCTCGACCCCTACCAAACCAGGTAGGGCGCAATGCCTTGTTGCACAATGCAACGTGCTGAGAGTTGACGTTTTGCCGTTGTTGAATTTGGCCTGGCCTCGGCCCAGTTGGCAGCACAAGTTCTTTCTGTGGGTATTCGATGAGGGCAGGACGGGTAGGAGCCGCAAGCGCTGACAACTGCGAGCTAGGATAGAGCCAGGAGCCACCGAGTCATAGAGGGTCCTCGAACTAACACGAGCACATTGGGACTGCAACGTCTCTGGTGTTGTTTTGAGAAGTCCTACAATCATCCCAAGCGGACCCTTGAGACTCTGCCATTTTTGCTGCTATTCGAGACGGTGCAAACACTGGTGCGGAGCGTACCAAGAGGTGCAGTTACAGTTCGCAGCTAGTCTAGGCGCAGTGTGTGCTTTTGGCATGTAAGAAGCATTGCGCTTAATTCTCAGGCCCCCCTGCGTCGGAGAAACATACGGCATCCGTGGTCGAAAAGCCCTGGAGCATGTGTGCACGAATACGCACCCGCACATCGCTCAACCACCCCAGAGAGCGGGATGATGCAGCGGACAAACCAGTTCGTGGGGATATAGATCCTGTTGCGCAATCCACACGCATATGGACATATATACCGCGCATATATGCATACATGCGTGTGTATAAATACACATTTATACAAATATGCATGCATGTAGAAATAAACACATATGCCAATTAGCAAGCAGCAAGCACAGACAAATACAAACCCATCCATCCATCCGTCCATCCATCCATACATCCATCCATCCATTTCATCATCCAGTCAATCATTCATTTTATCCATTCATTCATTAATTCATTCATTCCTCCGTTCTTTCATTCATGCATTCATTCATTCGTTCCTTTACGCACTCACGCATTCATTAATGCATCCTTTCATGCAACTCATTCATTCGCTCATTTTATTCATTCATTCATTCAGTCAGTCATCTGTTCGTTCATTCCTGCATTCACGCATTGATATCATTCATTCAGTGATTCGTTCGTTCATTCGTACGCTAATGCATGCAGAGGCGGGCAGCTTGGCTTCTTAGTGGCATGCTGATGTAGTGCAAGGGCTGCAAGGTTATGGGCTTGGTTTGCAGGTTGAGGATGTTCACAACTGGGGACGGGGCGGTGTCCGTTTCGCTTCAAAATTAAAGTGCATTTAAAGTCCGAGACCACGTTTGCAAGGAAGTATGAGTAAACCAAGTGCCTAGTGCCATGAAGAACGACAGAATCTAGGCGCTACCTCCGCAATTGAACGGTCGCTGGGGCGACCCTGCCAGTCCGCACAGAGCTTTGGTATCATCTGCACTCTGCCAAGGCTGTTTTGCTGTCTTGTGAATGAAGCTGATGCAGTCAAACACCAATTTCTGCGAGCCGCCCACAGCGTGCAAAACGGCCAAGGGTGAGTGGCAGATTTTGCTTCGTCTACTCAACGCCATGGAACGGACCGCGAGGAGTCGAAGTCAAGGCGAAAGTGTCGCCCTGTACATCTTTGTCTAAGAGCTCTTTGATGGGCAGAGAAGTATTTTAAGTATGCTTTTTATTGGAGAGCTTGACTTTGGGTGCGCAGTGTATCGGCAAGGTTGCGCATTGCTCACTAAATAGCGGCGAAATAGCGACTGCAGGCTCCAGCCGTGACCGGACAGTTGCCCAAGGTCAGGAGCTAGAGGCCGAGGAATCGTGCCTTTCCGCAGACGCTGCTTTCAACAGGTGCTGCTCAGATACAAATTGTGTGAAGCGTGCTGGAGCCTTGCAGGTCTCAGAACGCGTCTGTCGTGCCTATGCCAGCGCTGTACCATTTACTGCCCTGAAGGCCCTTTGAGTCCGATAAGCAAAGACCGTACATTCCTCACTGCGCCGTTTTCAGCAATGTCAGCACGCGACAGGTGCTGGAACTATCTGGAACTTCCAGCGTTCCAGCCTCCCTGAATTTTCATTTTAACTGTGAGCGGCACAGGTGCCCGCACCGATTCGATTTTCCTGCCCAGCCAGCCCAACCCAGCCGGCTGCAAGTTGCTCAGGGGCTGTGCACCGGATCATGAAGATCGCATCGAAAGGAAGTCGTCCTAGCTTCCGCGAGACAGGATGTCTGACCTCAGGGTTGTTCGAGCGCAGCCATTTCAACTGGCACACGGGGCAACGCAAGGATGTACATGTACATCATGTCTGACATGTCATGTCAGTCATGTCAGACATGAACGGTCATGGCCATGCAAATACACACATGCGCGCACACACACAACACCCACACGTACACACACACACACATATATATATATATACATACACACACACACACAAACAAGCAACAATACTTACATACATACACACAGACACACAGAGACAGAGACAGAGACGCAAACAGAGACAGAGAGGGAGACAGAGACAGAGACAGAGACAGTTTGCCCAGCCAGGCATTATTCTTTCACGGCAGAACAGGGGGAGCTTCCTTGCTGGTGGTGATGTAGTAGATGTGCTCCGTGGCAGTTTCTGACACTTCCCCTGTAACCCAGAAGACTGCCGTACCTACAGCTCATGGCACAGGCTCAATGGCTAAACTCCAGGGGCAATGACCCCAACTAGGACTTCCTGTCGTGTGATTGCAGTTGTTATCTGTTGGAAGTCTTCAGCATGGATTAACAAGGAAGGGATGGAGGGGCCTAGGGCCCCGGTCTGCGTTCGTGCAGATTCGTCCTCGACGGAAGGAAGGAAGGAAGGAAGGAACAGACAAAGACAGACAGAGACAGACAGAGACAGACAGAGACAGATAGACAGACAGATATATATATATATATATACATATATATATATATATATAAATACACACGCATGTACATGCACATGCACATTACATACCGAAAACGTTTTCAACGTCCGGCACGAACACAGCACGACACGACTACACATGCACATGCCCCGACAAAAACACACATGGCTCCTTGCAACCACGGCTAGCTTGAGATGGCACCCTCGTAGCCCCAAGCTACGCGGAATGACTGCAGTCCGTGAATCGACCGAAACATGTCTGTTCTTTCGTGTATCCAGCAGACTTCGTGAGGCCTTGGCCCACCACAAGGGCAGCGTCTTCGGCGGGCTCGGAGAGAAGACTCAGCCCAGCTCGGAGTATATGAGGAAGTCAAATAACTTTCTCCGGAATCCTGGGAAGTCGACAGGGGCTCATGGTGATCGGTATGCTTGAATGCCGGTTTAGGATAATTATTACGAGTGTTGTTCGGAATTGGACCAACACGTTTCAGTCCTGTTTGCCTTCCGTCTGCAATGTCACTATACGCGTGCTGCAGGAATGCCGTGGCATTGCAGTGGGCATCGCTGAATTCGTCGCGCTGGGTGTACTTGGAGGACTTTCTCGGTTCTTTGGCCCTATAATAAGTTCATGGTCCCGCGCGCAGAAGCTGAGAGCATCCACGCTGATGGCAAAGCTGCGCTGGCTATTCAATGTCGTACGGTAACTGCGCGCCGGTGTTGAAGTGTTTTTGCTGTGCCCGACAGCAAACTCAATGTGGCCGCCTGGTGCAGCCATCTTTGGATGGAAACCTCAGTTGAGGAATTAAGGAAGCTGACTTGATTTTTGTAGTGGATTGCATTCATGGGCTGGCCGGAGCCGCAGAACATGTGCGGGGCGGAGTTGTGCGGGGGAGATTCGCCGTGGGTGGTCAACAGCACACTACGCCGTGCCACGTCTATCAGGAGGCATAAGGAAAGGACAGTCAAAGCATCCAGAACAAGCGCAAGCCCGTTCGGCAAGCCTCCTTGCAACCAGATCCAAATTGAGCCGCTGAGACTCGGATGTGTGCAGCAAAGAGCACGGCTGCACTTTGTCCCTTGTGCGCTTGTTTGCTCTGGGCTCTTTTTCGGGGAATCATCGTCCCACTTCGCACCGCTGCCACCACAGACTTGGTCTTGACGATTGTTTGGAAGCTTGGCGGTGCAAATGAAGACTGGGGGCGGTGACTTCATAGCTGGAGCCAGACAGCAGCGAGGGTTTACAGGCCATTCCTCATCCACTGAAAGCAGGCTTTGGTGGAAGGGTTGGAGGAGGGATGGAGAGGGACACGCACGCACACATGCACATGCATACGTAAGGTACGCGTACGCCCTTGCGCATACATTGGATGACCTTGCATATACAATGCATTGCACACAGACTTGCGCACAAGAATATTTCATCTGCATTTGTACATCGATATTTGTGTATATGCTTCGGAAGTTCATGCAGTCTCCATTCATGTCATGTGCACCCAGGCTCAACACGCGCATGCGTACCTAGGCGTGTGTAGACCTACCTAGCAACCTACCTAACCATGTATCGGTTTGTATCTACCTACCTGCTAGCAGCTAGCGCTACTTAGCTATTTATGTATCTGTACATGCGTTTATATGCAGCAATCAAAAGTAGATTCGTCTTGTCATGATCGGACTCTTCGCCTTGCGTTGAGTTACTGTAGGATGAGGGCCCTCGCATTGGCACGGTGGCCAGGCGCCCAGATAAGGCCGCAGAGGAAGGGGACCTTCAAGTTGAGGGTCTGTCGGACCAGAGCTCGCCAGGCTTTTCAGAGGCCTGAATGCAAAAGGGTCGCGTGTTGCGGGCTTGAGATGATCTAGGGTGCTCTGATTTTGGGGAGTCTTATCGTTTTGGGCTTGGGGGTTACCATGCACAAGGCTCGTCATGATATGACGACTCCGTGGCTGAGGTGCTGCCAAGTGCTCTATACCGTCGGCTTCGGCAAGGTTGGCATCCACGCTGCCACCACAAGAGCAACCCACAGACCTTCCTGCAAGAGCTGAGTGCATCTCTGTGCCATAGTGCATTCTCGCTGCTAGTCATGGCGTCCCTTGCAAGAGCTCCTTGCATGCACTCCTAAGGCCCTGTGGTCTACGTAACATCAATTTAGAAGACACTTGTCCTGACAGCTGCGCTGGTGCTTCACTTGGATGTGCCCTTCGCGCTGCGTGCCGAACGTTCGCTGGCTCTCTACGGCTCCTTTGGCGCAGAGGCATCGCAAGAATTGTGACTTGAATCAGGAAGACCTTCCCTTGCTGGCCTGCTCGTGTGTGATGCACTTCTTGGTGCAGTCTCTCGCAGTTTGCTTGGCAGGCCCTGTGTTCAGCAGTGGAGCCCCCTGGCATCGGTTGTGGTCAGCTACTGAAACTTTAGCACATGCATTCAAGCACTAGACGTAGCCAGAAGGAGCTTCTGAAACTAACAGACCCTCAAGCCATACACAACAAGTCGCAGAGTACAACTAGCGACAAGAAGACTGATTCTTATCTTGCGGATTGCTCCAAGGAATTTTCGACACCGCATGGGCCACAGCCGCACAGATCTGCTTCAGCAGAAACTGCGCGAAGGGGCGCTCCGGGAAGTTTGTGAGGACCCGAAGCCTTGCACGCCGGTGATGCTCCCGGAACCCTTTTCGCCCTTTGAGGCGTTAGTTTTTGGGTTTCGCGCTTTGAGGCGTTAGGTTTTGGTTTTC